TCAAAAGGGGATGCACACGCAGGCGTAGGATTCTGCGCGCACTCGTTCAGGTACACATTGGCAACCGCAGCTCCGAAACCTTCTGGGTATGCTTGGGTGCCTTTTAAAGAGCCAGTGCCGTGAACACATCTCTTCCCGTTGACGACTTCACTCGTAAACGTTCGAACTTCAGATGGCTTGCTCGTGTCAAGAGGTTGCCACAACAGCTGCAGCGCTGATGAATTAGAGTATAGCACGGTGGGCTTTCGGGAGCTGCCCCCGTAAGGTTGCATCCACATTGAGATCTTGTGCATGTTATCGCCCAAAGCGGCGACAAGCTGCTGCCACCGAGGATGGAGTTCAAAAATCGAGCTGGCAGGCTGCTCGGCCATACAAATACAGCCTCGCATCGCAATGCCCAGGGCGATCAGCAAACAAATTCTGCTAGTTGAGACGTTCGCTTTTTTGACGAAATCCACCGACTCATCCCCTAGTGGCCTAGATTGACTTCTGCCTGTCTGATAGCGACCGATCCACACCCACGAGCTGCAGGGCGGCGCCGCCCATATCAGGCCTTGAGGCCTCAACCCAAGCACGTATGTCAACGCCCTGCAAAAACCGTCAGTGTTGCACATGTCGTCCATGTTGCTTCGGAGCATGTTCTATAGAGATACAGAGGCGCATTGTGTCGTTAATATAACAGGATATGGTCCATTATGGTCCATTATGGTTTCTTATGGTTTCTTATGGTTTGTTATGGTTTCTTATGGTGCGCTCTGGCACGTCACTCGGCAGACTTCCCACCCTTGCGAACAAAAAAAAAAAGCAAGAAGCGTCCTGACTGTGGCGAAATCCAGCGACACGGCTGGCAGGTCGTGGCTCTTGATGGCGTTTGAGACAGAGTGGCAGCCCGCGAACAACTCAACCGATTGCACTGAGTACCCGGGCAACGGGCCAGCCATCCGCACAAGGGTAGAGATCACGTTAAGCAATTTCATGGGGATCATGCGTCTGACGGGTCCTAGGGCGGTGGGTGGCATTCACCGCCGATTGAAAACATAAATTGCCACCTCCTCCTCTCATCCTTCTTTGCGGTCATTCCTCTCTCGTTTTCCTTCTCTTTTTTTTTTTTTGTTTCTCTCTCTCTCTCTCTCTCTCTCTCTCTCTCTCTCTCTCTCTCTCTCTCTCTCTCTTTCTCTATATATATGTGTATCCTGGGCCCACTTCCCATTTGCCCGTGCTACCAGCCTCCCCGCATACAGCGTTGCCTCCCCTCCTCCTCCTCCTCCTCCTCCTCCTCCTCCTCCTCCTCCGACTCCTCATCCTCCGACTCCTCCTCCTTCTCCGGCTCTTCCTCTTCCTCTCGTGCTCCTCCACCTCCTCATGCTGCTCATCATTCTCCTCGTTCTCCGCAGTTTAACTCCTGCATGCTCTGGCTGCTGGTCTGGCTTGCGCCTGGGACTCCGGCTCCGACTCCGGCTGGGACTAGAGTCGACGAGCATGGGGCCAGCGGAGCAGCTCAAGGCATCATCGCTGGCCGCGTCTGAGTCAGAGGACATGGATCGATGTAATTGGGATGGGGTTCACTCGGGCTTGGCTTGCGCACGAATGGGCTCAGGATAGCGAATGCAGCCCCTCTTGGGCCCCTAGGTCACCAAGCTTCGCGGTTCGCGCTCCTCGATGTGCGACGTTATCTTCGCGCCTTTGCGTTTTCGCGCTCTCCCCCTCTGGAAACGACACTTGTTCTTGGCCCGCGCCGCGACGTGCGAAGCGCGATTGATTGTCGCCGCGCCCATACAGACGGCTTAGGACCCCTGCACGTGCACTGAAGACCTAATTGGTGATGTTAATGTCATGTCATGAGATGCGTTACCCGTTGCGATGGTGCTGTCTATGTGGCATGTTGAGCACGATTTATACGATATGGTTTAATATGGTCCTTTATGGTTTGATATGCTTTGTTATGCTTTGTTATGCTTTGTTATGCTGTACTGTGTGATTTGCTATGCGTTGCTATGCATGGCCATATGCCATGTCCATCGCCCGTCAAATTGCGAAAACAGACTATATATACACACACATGCTTTCTCAAACGTTATAGTTGTCCATTGTGTCCAACCAAGACGCATGAATACTCCTAGTGAGAGGCGCTAAGAAGTAAGGGCAGATGTCGATTCAGCACTCGTGCGCCCGCCAAATCTGCGAACTTGGCTACCCAGCAAGACGATGTCACATCAAACGGTACACCACAGAGATTAAACTGTGCCCTCGACCAGTGAATGACATTGGCAGGCGCTCTTCCCATAGGAGTGGGCTGACATCTAGCTAAAGAAATCTCATTCGTCGGACGCGGCTTTCAAAATGGCAGCCTTGACAGCAGCCTCCCAGGCTTTGTCAGCGCCCTCGTACGCAGAAAAACCGAACTGTGCAAAGCCTGTGCCCATGACGGGCTTGACAACACGCACGAAGCCTTTCACCATGTGGACCTCCAAAGTGAGCGGGGTCTTGTCGGGGGCGTAGTTCCACTTGCAGGCGTAGGAGAGTTCCCCGTGAGGGGTGTCAGGAGGCTGCGCCGCCTCCGGGAGGATGGCCAAGACATCCTTGTGCCTCTCGTTGAACACCTTCGGATCGATGAGGGGCCTCTTGGCGGGCTTCGGCCTCGGGCGAATAAAACACAGAGTGGGTTAGCCGAGCGGTCCCGCGCCGAGTGCGCGGCTGAAGTGGGCCCCCTCGTGACCCGCCTCGCGACCTACGACCCATTCGACCCGCCCGCGCGCGCCCGGGCGCCCCCTCACTCATATCCGCAATTGACGGGGACTAGGCAACATCAAACGCACCCTTAACAAGCCACTCCGAGCGTTGCCCCCCTGCCTGTCTGAAAGGAAATCGGCGTCGGTGCACGTTTCGATTGGGCCTTCGACGCAATGGCCCTCCCCTGGGCCAGGGCGCATCCTCTCCAGTTGCGGCCTCGCTGCAGGTCGAGGGCGCGGGGGTGGGGGTGGTCGGGCGAGGCGGGGGAGAAGCGGGGAAGGGTGGTTGTCCCAAGAGGAGCAGGTGGAAGAGGCGACGAGCAGAAGGTTGTCGTTGCTGCTGCGGAGGAGGAGGGCGACGAGAGCGAGGGCGAGGGCAAGCATTCAACTGGTTTCGGGATCAGTGCCCGCTGCGGCCAGAAGCGCGCGAAGGGGGATGACGCACGGGGGGCGCATCAGACAGCGCGGTTGGAAGCAGATTTGTTTTTGAGACGTGTTGGTTTTGATGCGCCCCCCTCGCGCCACCCCATTCGCGCGCCGCCGACGCATGGTGCCCATTCCAACCTTTTACGCCCACACCACCTCGCGGGCGCGGCCTCAGCGCCAGCCGTGTCGCCCTCGGCGTCGGCCTCGGCCGCGCGCTTCTTGCTGGCCACGTCGCCTCCGGGGACGCCAAACGCGGCGCTGCGCCGATATTGGCCAGGCCACGCCAAGGTCCAGGATTTGTGAATTCAACCTTTGTCAAGCCAGGGGATGCATACACCAATCCTGGGCCATGGACTGGCTCAGCCAGGGTCGTAGCTGGTCGATGCTTGGCGCTCCCGAGTTGCCGCTGCCGTCAGCCGCCGACTGCGCGTCGCCTTCAGGGGCTCCAGGTGTCCACCGACGCCGATTGTGGCTAGGCCAATCCTGCACCCAAGATCGATGGACGCGATCTGGCTCTGCCAAGAAGGCGGCGCATCCACCAATCCTGGGCTCAGAGTTGGCCCAGTCAGGAGCGGCGCTGGTGGATGCTTGGATCCCCCGAGGTGCCGTCGGCGCTGCTCATCGCACATTTGGCCTTGGCCTTGCCCTTCGGCTTGGCCTTGCCCTTGGCCTTGCCCTTGGGCGTGGCCTTGGGCTTGGCCCCCAGGCGGGCGCTGGCCTCGGCCGCGGCCTCGGGGGCGCCTCCATCGGCGGTGATATCTCCTGTCGTGTCGCCGCCCCCTGCCACATCGTCAGCAGTACCGCGGGCCTCTGCTGGCGCGAGGGCGGGCATCGTCTCCAGCTTCTTGACCAGCTCATCTGGGCGACGGGAGCGAGAGAACGAACAGGGAAGCAGACGTTGGTGGAAACATTGCGTGCAAAGGCAATGCAAGTAGAGTTGGCTTCCACTTGGTAGTACAATGCAATGCAAAACAATGCACAACGTATCAAGAGCATGCAATGCACTGTAACACCACGCTCGAAGTTGTACATACCCGCCGAGACATGCAGGCTAGCAACTGATTTGTACATGCGTTGGCTTAAAAATGTGGTGTGCTAAACTGTTAACTGTACTAGCAGGTATGCCAACATCGTAGCATTATGGTTGCTTATGGTTTTTGATGGTTTCTTATGGTTTCTTATGGTCTCTTATGGTCTCTTATGGTGTGCTGCTACCTGCACGTTCATGCTGCATATGTTTGTTGGTGCTTGTTTAAACAACATGACAGTTGGATCGAGGGCCTATCGAATCATACCTGGAACGTTCCCATGGTTCTGTCATGCCAATGACCGACGTTGGGCGGCTTCTTGGGCGGCGGCGGGGCCCGGGCGCACGAGGAAGCATGCGCGGCTGGATGAGCGAAGTGCTCCTTCTCCTCCGTCTCGGGCGCGGCAGGCGATGAGTGGCACAGCGCCTTGGCGATGCGATCGAAGGGCGTGCGGGGGGCGGCGTCCTCGTCCTCCTCGTCGCTCGAGCTGATTGTCTGGATCGCCTGCAACTCCCTGTTCACAACAGAGTCGTCGCCTGGCTCGGGCATCATCGCTCCGAGAAGAAGTCCACGAGCAATGCATTCAGCTCTCGCCTGGGCGCGGGGGGGATCACGGGGCGCGCGCGCGGCACCCCCCGAAAACGGTTGGGGCTTCTGGGATGATCCAAGACAGTTCGAAGGTGGCCCAAGATGGCCCCGACATTTACAGCTTCAAAGCTCACCAATGGCCCAAGATGGCACCGATATTTCCCAAGTTCGAAGGCGGCCCCAGACGGCCCCAAGATGGCGCCACAGAAACCAGTTTCAAGTGCACGGCCTGTGACATCCCGGGGTCCTTCATCTTCAGCGCGATAGTGACAGCTGAAATGTCATCGGCCTTGGGAACCACCTCCACAGCAGAGCGGGGCGTCTCTGGCGACCGGGGGGGCTGGGAAGGCACGTCGGAAGCAGTGGCGGTGTCGGGCTGGCTCTCGGGGATCTTGTCGTCGCAAGCCATTGCGGTGCTGGGCTGGGCCGCGGGGATCTTGTCGTCGCAAGCTGGTGCGGTGTCCGGCTGGGCCGCGGGGATCTTGTCGTCGCAAGCCGGTGCGGTGTTGGGCTGGGCCGCGGGGATCTTGTCGTCGCAAGCTGGTGTGGTGTCAGGCTGGGCCGCGGGGATCTTGTCGCAAGCCGGTGCGGTGCTGGGTTGGGCCACGGGGATCTTGTCGTCGTGGGGGTGCGAGTCGGAGGGCTCTGGCGTGTCTGGTCCATCTTCATCAATCATGATAACTTCCACTGCGAACTCGGCGAATTCATTCTCCTCATCGTCTGCGCCCGAGCCCCCCTGATTCTTGGAACGGGTTCTGGGAGGCTTGCACGCGTTCTTGAGGATGGCAATGTCAGGATCCCTGGATATTGGGTGCGCACCCTTGAGTTTGTACACGTAGAAAATCATTGCATGCAGGCAGGCCCCCTCGAGCAAACTCCACGAGCTGTAGGGCTCGCCGTCAGCGTAGAAAGGCAGGTTCCCCCCATCCTTGCTGTAGTTGGTGCCGCCGAGCTTCCAGCCCGACGCCTTTCGAACTTCGGGGGGGGGGGGCAGTGCAGGTCAAATCTATTGGCACCCATCCACCCTTTCTTCCTCGAGGGAAGCAGGGATGGATAAGGGGAAGAGGGTCTAGACAGCTTACCTGTATTGTTTCCTCCCTCGACAGCTGCTCAAATATCACGCAATAACAGGACTGTTTAACTCATGTGTTGCCTTGTGGTGTCTTATGGTTTATTATGGTTTCTTATGGTTTCTTATGGTTTCTTATGGTTTGTTATGGTTTGTTATGGTTTGTTATGGTTTGTTATGCTCTGTGCTGCTGTGCTGTGATGTGCGATGTTGCGATCGTGATTCACTGTGCATGCTTATCATGGTGCTGGGCTCGTGTGAGTGTGATGCGATATTGCTTGATCCTACTTTCCCACGGGCGATATGATGTTTGTCTGTACTGTGGCGTTGCTCATATGTCGTGTTGATGGCGTGCTATGGCATGCTATGCAGTCGATCGGGCTTCCGCCCATGGCTCGCAGAGCGGCATCAGGAAGAGAGGGGGAGGAGGAGGAACATGAAGAGAAGGAGGTAAAGGAAGAGGAGGAGGAGGAGGAGGAGGAGGAGAAGGAAAGAGTGAGAGGGAGGGGGCCGCTCCACATGCGCATTATCCCTTGTCTCAGCCAGCCTGAGCCAATTCCTAATTGGCTCAGGCTGGCTGAGACCGAGGATGACCCCTAATTATTAGGGGTCATCCTCGGTCTCCTCTATCCCCCTCCTTCCCTGACCTTCCAGAGTGCTAAACCATAGCCCTCCAGACCTATAAACCTATCTGGACTGCTCAAAACCTCGACAGGAATTGAGACGCCAAGATCCTGGTGCTACTTTTTAGCCCTCGTGGAAGGTCAGGGTTGCTCTCCCCCACTCTAGAACCCCCAATTCCATTCACCCCGAAATCGTCCCCCACCCTGGCCGAACCCCCTATCTCTCGCCTGGCCTCGTCAAGCTTGAAGACAGCTCTCGCGTACGCTGATGTCGGGGGCCTGCTGTCGAGTGAGGTCAGGACAGACAGCAGCACGTCCCGGTGGTATTTGAGGTCATCCTTGCAGACCTCGGGAGATGTGCCGCCCTCGGCGGCGCGCCAAGGAGGGGTTGGGGGCGGGGGGGGGGCTTCTTGAAAAGAGGGGCCACTCCTTCTAAGAAGCCCCACCTCGTAAGAAGCTCCCCCTGCCCCCCGCCACTCCTCGGCGCGCTGCCGACGCCGATAGCCCCCGCCCGATTCGTCCCTGGCATCCGTCCCTGATGAAAGGGTGAGGCTCCCTTGGGGCCCCATCGGGGCCACCCCAAACCGTGCAAAGGCCCCTGGGTCCGAGATTCCCCGAGACCCCTTCAAGGTACCCTTGAGGGGGCTGCTTACAGTCAACCCGTAGAGTAAGGATGCGCGAGGATATAATGGCCTTGGACGCCCAATTCGAAGCCTTTCGAGCGGGCTGCGGCCAACGAAAGCGGCCAAGGATGGGCCGAGGAGGCAAGGATGCAAGGGTACCCTTGGGAGGGTTGCCCATCCGTACTATGCGGGTTGACTGTAATGGGTTCCCCAGGGCTCTCGAAAATATTCTTTCTCGCAACCAGGCGCCTTGATTCTACCGTGGCTCACGTCGGCCACCAGTGGGTACAGGTTGTTGGTCCTCAGGGGCAGGGCTATAGTGCCCAGACCTTCCAGGAGGGCTTAAAAATAACACCAGGACCTCGACACCGAAATTCCTGTCGGGATTTTAGGCAGCCCAAAAAGGGCTACAGGTCTGGAGGGTTATCTATTGGCACTCTGGAAGGTCAGGGTGGTTCCCGGGTCCTTTCAACTTGATCGACCAGCTCGGCCGTCAGTACGGCCGCCAACGCGTTGAATATCTGATCAGTGGGCGTCGCCATCGCGGCGACGGCGCGACGGGTGCGAACAGAATGGAGGTGGACGTCGAGGGGGCCGAAGAGGGGGCCGAAGAGGCAATGGGTGAGGGATCGGGAGAGGAACTGGAGGCGAGGAGGAGAGAGGTACAGAGGGCGGGGGCTCCGTTGGCACCCGTCGATGGCCCCTCTGGCCCCTCTGGGGACCTGCCCTCCTGCAGGCCGAGCAAAATGCTCGAGCCTGGCGCCGTCGGATCGGGTCGCATCGGGCGGTCGGTGGGGCGGGCGTTCGGTTGATCGGGCGAGCGGTCCTCCTCCTCCTCCTCCTCCTCCTCCTCCTCCTCCTCCTCCTCCTCCTCCCGCCTCCACATCCACCTCCGCCTCCTCCCCCCGCCTCCGCCGCCTCCTCCTCCTCCTCCTCCTCCGCCCCCCCTCCTGCTCCTATACCGCGCCCACGGCGAAGACGCGATGACGGCATGACGACGATGCGATGCCAAGACGGCACGGAGGAGGAGGAGGAGGAGGCGGAGGAAGAGGAAAAAGAGGAGAGGGAGGAGCAGGAGGAGGAGGAGGAGGAGGAGGAAGAGGAGGAGGAGGAGGACGGAGGAGGAGGAGGAGGAGGAGGAGGAAGAGGAGGAGGTAGAGGAGGAGGAAGAGGACGAAAAGGCTACAAACACGAATACTATTAATAATAATGGATAATAGCAATGCTAGTCATGTGTTGCGTTGTGTTGTGTGTTGTGTGGTGTTGTGTTGTGTTGTGCCGTGCTGTGCTGTGCTGTGTTGCGTTGTGTGTGTGTGTGTGCGTGTCTGTGCGTGCGTTTGTGTGCATACGCGCGCCGTCGGTGCGTATGTTTGTGTGTGTGTGTGCGTTTGTGTGTATCTGTGCGTGCGTGTGTGTATGTGTGTGCGTGTTTTGTTACGTTCTCTTGTTCCCCGCCCATGCTGCACCGCTATCCGGTTTTTGGACTACACAAGCGACAGAAGTCGTCAACGCTCAGCACATGGGTAAAACAAAATCACCGTGGCAACAAAAAAACGCACCGCAGCCAGGCGCGTTGGAACGCCAGCGAAGGAATGACAAAACATGGGCGCGCGTGCGATACGGCCATCACGCAAGGCCAGCAGGAAGCTTGAAAATCAGGCGGCGACAAAACATATGAAGCTAAAAAGGCATTCGACTATCTGTTTGCTTGCCGACGTCATGCATATTTGCATGAAATCAACGCGTGAACGTGGTGTCGCTGCTGACGAACTTAAGTTTTTTATGGTGTTTTGTGGCTTTCGTTCGCACGCTCGAAATCAGCATCGCTGAAAGCATAAATTTATAAACCCTTAGACTTCCGTCCTCGGGAAGTCTATAAAAATAGACTTCTGGAGGCTCTGGGAGGCTGACCTGAAACTCCCCACAGCCCGGAAGGTACCTCCTCCCATCCCCTCGGCAAACCAATGCGTGCGGTTGCCGATGTCCTTCCAACTGATGCCAAAAAGACCCCAACCCCTGATCCAGGACGACGAGTCCGAGTCGGGGGGATCGGGGGGAGTGCGGGTCGGACCTTGGGGAGGTGGGTCGGCCGGCGGCGCGGAACGCTCGCGCGGCGGACCCCCTCCGGCACCTCCCGCGGGAGCCGCATGCTCGCCTGCTGGGCGCGCTCCGATCGGCAGCGCGTCCACGCGCGAGGCGGGGGCCAAGGTGCCGTCGAGCCAGAACGCCCTCATGTCCACGTCCGTCATGTCGTCGTAGTACACGGACTCGGCCTCGTGGCCGGCGTCGGCGGCCTTGGCCGCCACCACGAGGGTCAGCAGCAGGGCTGCCGCGCGTCCGCAGCGCCAGCCAGCTGGCGGCGCCGCCGGGGCCTTGGGGCAGCTCCTCCAGGCGGGCCCCGGCGCGCGCACGCGATCTGCCGCCCTTGCCCGGCAATGAGCCGGCGCCGGCGCGGGCTCGCGCCTGGCCGCTGGCTCGGCGAGGGGGGTCGGCAGCCTTGCCTCGGCAGGTGCCGCCTCGCCCCCGGGTGCTCCGCGGCTGGCGTGAGCCGGCGCCGCTCGGCGCCCGGGCCCCCCGCCGCTTCGCAGCTGCGCGCCCGCGGGCAGCGTCGCCGCCGCCCCCCAGCCGCGCGGCGCTAGGCGCGGCATCATGCGGCCGCGGGCGCCCCCTTCCAGGCCTGGACCCAGGACCTGGAAGTCTTCTGGCCCCGGTCCCGGGGCCCGGCCTTAGGCCAACTGAAGCCGACCCCCAGCTTGGCCTCAAAAGGCTTGAGCCGCCGAATGGCGGTGGGAAAGGAGGGGGAGAGAGGGCAAGCAAGAGGCAAGGGCAGGAGCGAGGGGACCAAGGGAGAAGCCCGCGCCAGTCCTGGAAACGGGAAGATCCATCAGTTTTACCAAACATCCTAGCTCCCTATGGGGCCACGAAACGTGTGAGGGGTGTGCCAAAATGGAGCGGCGCCGCCATGCGGGCTGCGCCCCTGGGGCCTTAGGTGGAGCTCCCCATGGGGCCACGAAGCGCGTGAAGGGTGTGCCAAAATGGAGCGGCGCCGCCATGCGGGCGGCGTCACTGGGACCTAAGATGGAGCTCCCTATGGGGCCACGAAGCGTGTGAGGGGTGTACCAAAATCGGGCGGCGCCGCCATGCGGGCTGCGCCATTGGGACTTCAGGTGGAGTTCCCTATGGGGCCACGCAGCGTGTGAGGGGTGTGCCAAAATGGAGCGGCGCCGCCATGCGGGCTGCGCCGCTGGGACCTAAGATGGAGCCCCTTATGGGGCCACGAAACGTGTGAGGGGTGTGCCAAAATGGAGCGGCGCCACTATGTGGGCTGCGCCACTGGGACTTCCCCATGGGGCCACAGAGCGTGTGAGGGGTGTGTCAAAATGGGGCGGCGCCGCCATGCGGGCTGCGCCAGTGAGACTTCAGGTGGAACCCCCTATGGGGCCACGAAACGTGTGAGGGGTGTGCCGAAACAGAGACATGCGGAGAGCAAAGGCAAGGAGGATGAGGAGGGAGGAGGAGGAGGAGGAGGAGGAGGAGGAGGAGGAGGAGGAGAGGAGGAAGGAGACGCGGGGCACCGCCTTTTCAAAACGAGGACCCAACACCGCAGGATGGTTGGGAACAATCATACGACTACTACACTTACCACTAATAC